GGGGGGGTGGGGGGAAGAAGAGGGGAGCCCGCCTCTGTGGCACGTTTCCGCTGTGCTGCGGGGTGGGTGTCAACTCTGGCCCTGACTAAACCCAAGCGCCAATAGAGGCTGTGCAGTCACAGAAGTGGGGGTGGGGTGCAGGGAGCTGCTGACCTTGCGAGCGGGCCTGGGGAGGTAAGAGAGGCAAATTGAACGGAGATAAAGGGAAACACCGCCGATGCTTTGCTTTACTGCAGGCCCGGCGAGAGGCAGGGAGCTGCAGCCAGTCACAGGTTGTAAGTTTCGGCCGCTGTCCGCCTGCCACGCGTTCTCAGAGAGAGCCAGCCCCAGCCTGCGGAGGCGAACACAACAGCGTTCTCCCCTTGCAGCTGGAAAGATCCCCAGCAATTCCCTATGAAACATTCATAAAGTCCAACGCTTTCTCCGCAGCCGAGGTCCGCGCTGGATTGAGTGGGTGCTGGGGGTTTACTCGCCCAAGGAAGAGCCTGAGGGCACGTTTATTGGGGCTTTGCTAATTAGCGAATGGTTTGCTGATTTCTCTGCTAATAAATTTGCGTTAAAACCATATTGACCTCTGCCTTGATCCAACAAAAAGGGAGAGAGGGCTCGGAAACGCCTACCTCATTTTCTGCCCTTGTCACAGCGGACTCTTGACAATTACCCAGCCTCTGTGCAGGGGCCAGCGAAATTACAGAGCAGCAGCTCCGCTTCGGCGACAGACTCAGTCGATTTCTTTCTCATAGGTCTTAACATTAATAAGAGCTCCCCCCCCCATATTTTAGTGTTAGGACTAGGAACAGGGTCTCGGTTGTTTGAGACTCTTTACTGTGAAGAGCCCTTTATCTGAGCACGCATTCGAATTAATCTCGGAAGTGTGCAACGCCGGGAATAACACACAAGCGTTTCATGTTTAAAATGATGCTAATTTAAAGTCGAGACCAACCTGTTCGAGATTATTCCACTGGCTTCATTTTTCATGGGTGGTACAAAAACCCCTTTAGTTTTTGTTCATCTTTGCGCACACGAAGCCTGAAAGTAACAAAGGGAGGGGGAAAAAACTTTAGACAAAATAGCTTGATGGCCTTTCTCTGCTGCCGAAATGCGTCAGTAGTGCTTTTAAAATGATATTTATTCGATCAGAAAAGTCACGGAAGTATTCAAATACTATCTTGCATCGCAATTTAATTTATTTAATCGCTGTTTTTTTTATTTCTCTCACTGCAGGGTTTCACTAGTGCGACGTGTAAAACATTTTGTTAGAAAAAAGGGAAATAAGTTTTTAATCCATTTTACTGCTGGATTTTAGGAAAATTGTTTAAATGTATTTTTTTAATTTTTGGAATGTTTGAAAACTTG